ATCGGATCTGTAACCGGATATATGGTATATGACACCAAGATGACATGACTCTATTGGACGAAGGCAACAACAATGACCTTTTTTATGATGACGATCTTGATCACCCTCGCTCTCCATCTCCACCATCTCGCCCACAATCCGCCAGTCCCGAGTTCATCGAAAACATAGATAATACACCGACAAATCCCAGCGCTGACAATCCAGTCCCTTCCACAATGAACCATGCTGGCCCTGGTGCTGATGATGAGGATCTGCTTCAAGAGCTCGTTCCTGCTTTTCAACAGACACCTCCTGTTCGACTACTTTACCTACAGGCAGCGATTGCCCACATTGTTGGATCCTCGACAGTCGCCGAGGCCACCAATCAGATTCAAGACGGCCTGGATCTTATTGAGCTTTGTGGTGCATTACCGACATTCCCCATTCCTCGACGCTCGATCATCACCGTGGAGAAACACTTAGGACTCCAAACGGATGACTATGTTTTAAGGATCCCTATATGTGATGTATGCTACAAACGCTACTCTCTCGACAACATTCAGAAACTCGACACCCCTATATGCATGGTCTCTTGTTGCAAAGGGAACGTGTATCGTACCAAACGTGAACATACAGACCCCGCAACAGGCGAAGATCGGTTCAAGTGTATCCCTGTAAAGGTCCTCGTTTATTGCCCTATAATCAAAGCAGTACAGCGCTTCCTCCTGAGGTCAACATTTGTCAGCAATCTATGAGACACCTCTCAAGATATTGATCGTACGGAGCTCTCAGATGACAACTTGATGCATGATATACAGTGGCTCAAAAAACCGTCCGTATGTTTTGGCATTTTTCACTATCTATAATATTGTGTGAGAACAAACAAATGCCTCAAAAACATGCTTATACCACATTGTAGTATGGCTTCAGGGCTTTCATTTGAGCCCTACACCGTGGGAATCGGTGGAGATATGGTGGAGATACAAGGCTCACAAAATGGTGACTCATGCGGACAGTTTTTTGACCTCAAGTATTTTACAGTAATAACCAGGTATTCTAGTATTTTGTATGACCTCCCTTGGCTTTAATTACTGCCTCTATCCTTCTAGGCATACTCTCAATTAATTTCTGGCAATCCTCAGCTGTGATCTTCCCCCATTCCACTGCTACTCTCTCCCAAAGCTCCCATACTCCTTTAGGGGGGTTTTCATAGGCTTGAAGCTTTTTCTTGAGTGTTCCCCAGAGATGTTCAATGACATTGACATCAGGAGACTGTGCTGGCCAGTCAAGAACATTGATGTTATGTTCTTCAAACCATTCCCTAGCTCTTCTGGATGTGTGCTTGGGATCATTATCCTGTTGGAAAATGATATCTTCTTCATCAATCCCTGATTCTGCCAAGCTAGGCAGCAAGTGGTCATTTAAAATGTCCACATACTGCTCAGCATTCATCTTCCCCTCAACCTCAGCAAGCATTCCCACACCATTCCATCCCATACAGCCCCATACCATTAAAGAACCTCCTCCAAACTTGACAGTCCCATTAACCTCTCTGTCTGTTAGGCCATCTCCCTTCTTTTTCCATACATACACCTTCCCATCTGACCCAATCCTATTGATTTTGGTCTCATCTGACCATATAACATGCTTCCAGTCCTCTACAGTCCAGTGTTGATGAGCTAAGGCAAAGGCTAGTCTTCTCTGCCTATGTTTGATGGAGAGAAGAGGCTTTTTCTTCTTTGTTACTGCCTTGAGATGAGCTGCCTTGAGAACATTCCTCACAGTTTGTGAAGAGACAGGGGTAGTGATGGTGGAATTGATATAATGGGTGGCTTGGACAGCATTATCAGCCTTTCCTGTAGTGATATGTTGGATAATAGCCCTTTTGTCAGTAGAGGTAAGCTTGGATGGACGTCCTCCACAAAAGTTTTCCTTGTCTGGGTGGCTTTCTTTGATGAACTTGGCCACAGTGGACTTGCATATTCCAGTTCTAGAGGAAATTTGGCGAGCAGAGAGGCCAGCATAAGACAGAGAGAGGATATTATCTCTTTGAGCAGAGGAGATGGCTTTCATGGTGATTATGACTATGATACATGAGATATTCTGGTTTATATAGTTAGATATAGTCATAAAATAACATAATGACACCACTTTATAATTTATATAATAGTGGCATGATTTTTATGGTGTCATAAATAATGATTTATATAGTTTTAATATACACTCAAAAAACTGTCCACATGAGTCATCATTTTATAAGCCTTATATCTCCACCATATCTCCGCCGATTCCCACGGTGTAGGGCTCAAATAAAAGCCCTGAAGCCATACTACAATGTGGTATAAGTATGTCCTTGAGGAATTTGTTCATTCTCACACAATATCATAGATAGTGAAAAATGTCAAAACATGCGGACAGTTTTTTGAGCCACTGTACACGACAGCACTGAGTGGACGAAGCTCGAAGTTGGTCTCAAGCGGGTGTGTTTACCTGATGGCAGCATCACAGATATCGAGGAGTCCCCAGGCTCACGGTGTCCGCTTGTTTGCTGTGACGTTGGACTCAGTATGACACTCAACATTGACTGGTAAGCTTATTCCCCTCAATGTCACGATGGCAGTAATAGATCTGAATCTTTGTAAAGGTTCGGAATCACCGAGGGTAGACCTCATTCCTCGGGTGCGGTGTATATTTCCTTCAATAACTTACACCGATCAGTAAGATACCTCACGCACAATGTCCACCTGGCACTTGTCATCCCAGGACCCAAGGAACCAAGTCTCGAGAACCTCAATTACTGTCTCGAGCCCCTTATGGATGATATTCATTATCTATACAAAGGTACCTTCATTTCTCCACCTGACATGATTCTCTAATTGCGAGTCAGGACTTTATATGTGTATGTATGGATTTCATTGTTACAACAGGACCATTGTTACAACAGGACCATTGTTACAACAGGACATCTCCTCGATAGCACGGGTTGGGACCTGTTTTAAGACTCCATCAATTCAGTTATCTGGCCATCGGGAATTGGACGCCTTCCCAAAAATGTGATCTCTCGGCTGATGTATAACTGACTGTTTTTGCTGATGTTGCACTCTTAGCTTGCCGATGATCATGGGCTCCCCAAGGCTGATCAATGGCGACGTCTCTCGAGCATATATCCATTTATACTGTGGCTATGTTGGCGAGATCACCATGACGAAATTAAGGCCTCCGCACCACCAGTACCTGCATCTGCGAAGCCCCAACCAACTTTCAAACGTGATTTACGAACGATATACAAACTCGTTCTCTATCTCTTGGTATCTGAGCGGATCCTCGCTAGCAAAGCAATATCAATCAATGATATAGATCGAGGTCAAGCATACTTACACTCTATTGTCAAGGTCTCGAGTCGCTCAGTGTCCATCAAACAATCAACAGTCATCTCGCCATGCATTACTCCCTCGTCTTCCGCCAATATGGACCAGCATATGCAACGTGGCTCTTTGGCTTCGAATGCTTCAATGGTGTCTTAGAGGACGTGAACCTCAATGGACATGGAGGTGGTGAAATGGAATACTCATTAGCGCGTGATTGGGTGTGAAAAACATTGACTTTATGAACTCGTAAGTTTGTTCTTGCCTTGCAACAATACTTATAGTTTTAAATAATAGGCTATTTCTTTACCCGAAGGGGCATCCGACAAGGAACATAAACTCGTCCAACGGGCCATTGACCAAAAGGGTCTCGATCGCAGCACATTACGCACTCAAATTGCTCAATTTACATCAGGTGAGTTTCGACAAAACAGTCAACTTGAACATCCTATAACGTCGATAACAGCCAGTTCTATCTTGCCTCCACGGCTCACGTCGAAGACGAAATTCACCAGCTTACGGGGCCTTCAGCATCCGCAGGTATATCAACTGCTTGTTGGATTCTTGCAGCACAAGTTTCCCGACCTCAATGTCGTTGACGATATGACAGCGGAGCTAGGCACTACTGTTCTCTTCGCTAGTCGGTCGGCAAAGGTTCTCCCCTTCATTGTCAAGGATGGCATCCGATTCGGGTCTGCAACTGCAACTCGAACAAATGCTGACCAGTTTGCAGGTGTCTTGATGCACGACACACATGTCCCTTGCAAAATCATATATCATTTTGAAATACACCTTCCCGACCAAGTGTTCTACTGCTCCGCTGTTCAAAAGATGGTATCTGATAATAGAATTCCCGTAATGTCATGGGATCGTTTGTGAGCATTTTTTCATTTGCTCATATATTCTATTAACTCCTTGAACTGTACTCTAGCGCAACTGATCTTGGTGTGAACATCGTTTACGAGAATATCTTTGGACCACTCGAGATAATCGCATCAAGTCAACTTTCATGTGCAGTAGCAATCATTCCCATCACGACTGATGTTCTTGCGGAGGTAAAGTCCTTGTGGGTAGTTCAGTCCTTTGACCGGGTGAGTCCTAAGAAAGATTTATTCTTATTCCGAAACTCATTTACCTCTAGACTGGGCTTGAAGCTGATGACAACTGGTTGCGCGGTGATTCAGATGAAGATGGTGACATTGCAAGCTAGGTAGGACTCTATTTTTTAATGCTTAGTTGAATAAAATATCAGCATCATCAATACCTTCAAGAATTTCGCCAAGCTTTTGCTGCGCAGTCTCAAGCACGCTCATACTAGCCTCATCGACAGTGTTTCGTTGGCGCACAATCACCTTCTTGGCAGTTCCGGAGTCCCAAGCCTTCCCCTTTCCTTTCCTATCCTTCACCAGCTCCCTTGGCTCCTCATCACCCCATGCTTCACCACTGTGAGCAACGCGCCCGGAGTCAAACCAGTCCGCATTTTCCTCGAGGATGTCAGTCTTGACCATCCATGAACGTATACGTGTGGCCAAGGTTCGTGCAAGAGGTGGTGGGCCTGTCTTTTGTTCATCTGTTCTTCTCCGCAGCTTCGCTAACTTGGCTTGGTCAGGTCGCGGGTCTTTTACCTCATCTATGGCTGCGAAGAGCGCGGACAACTAACAAAATACAGTAAGTACTTATGGTGTTGACAGCATCGGTGACAGCACTTACCTCAAGGCTTCGCCATTCTGGCTCCATTGTCAAGAAGGTGCGTGCTTCACCTGGACGCTGTTCTGGGTCATCTTCATCATCTGACATCGCATTTAAATGAATGCTGAGTTGTATTTAGGGTCTTGCCACTTCCCATCACATTCATTTGATCTGCGTTTCCTCTTGTGCACATCAAGTTTCTGATAGAACGACCAGTAAGTACAATCTTATTACTGCAGAAAACACGTACTGATTGAACACGTGAATTCATGTGCGCACGATCCAAACCTCCATCAACAATCTCTACATCATCCCCCAGGTCATCATCTTCATCTACTCGTTTCCTTTTCTTGTCCGCTTTTCTGTATTCGCCCGCCATTCGCATATATTTTGTCCGCACATTTTTTTCAATTTGGCCAGGAAGGATCGCACTGAGAATCCCCTTCGCTGCATCGCCCATCTGTGGTCCCACGAGACGGATCCTATCGACTATCCTCTGCAGACCTGTTGTGTTGATACTGTCATCATGCTTTCCTACCCACCAGTCAAAGCGAATCAAGTCTTTCCCTGTAGCAGGATCTTTCGGCCATTTATCTGTCCCTTCTCCGATACCCATTGGGTAGCCTGGTAAGTGCTGTGCATCGATTTTCTGGATGCCTAGCAGAATTTTGAAGCTTTCGCCTACTAGGTCCCTTTGTTCCAGTGTTCAGTTCAGTTTTTTTTTTGCCGCATGACATATTAAAAGGTGCGCACTCTATATATTTGCTCTTCAGTGTATCATCACTTGCACGCTGCTGATCATCCTTCTCCGCCTTCACATTTGCACTAGATTGCTGCCCACCATCATCTACCTGCTCACCCTCATCATTCTCGATATCTGCATCATCACCGGCTTCAATATATTCAATGCCGACCTGTGCTTCGATGCGTCGCAAACGCTCGTCCACATCTTTTTGTTGCAACTTCAGGTGCGAGTTTTCGGCTTTCAGAAGCTTGTTCTCATTGTATAGGAACTGAAACTTCTTTTCTGCTTGGTCTTTAAAGGTCAAAAATTTTGTTTTGAGCTGTTCATGGGCGACAATTGTGGCATTGAGTCTCGCAAGGTTCGCGGACATCGTGAGGGGGAGAATTCAACTGTATCATTACTCGGACATCTTACAGTGCTTGTAACTACATGTGGGATTCACCAGTAGTACTGCTATATGATCTGCTTGTTGCTATATGGCCAATGATTCGCAGCGCAAGCAGTAATTGATGAGCTACAGTGGGCTGCAGCTGGCAATGGGGTACTGGTAAGTAGGACAAGATTTATTATATAATAAATAATACCAATATTTAGCGTACATGCTCGAGGATTATAGACCGAACGAGTTGCAAAAGAACCTACGTGAAATAAGAGATGGATACATGAAAATTGCGACCATTCGTTTGATATTACAGTGGCGATGAACCTAGCAAACATCTCGCATGGGTCTGCTACGGATCTAGAGGTTTGTGCCACATCCGTCCCAGACATAATCTGTGGTTTTCTGCAGTGTCTATTATATACCTCATCTAACTTCTATACCAGGGACGTGCAGGTGACACCGTAACTGCACCACAGCCGGTTACCCCTGATACATATGAAGCACCGTCGTAAGTGCAAATTTTCTCATAAACTGCAGATATCAAAACACGAGGTGCAGACTGAGAGTGGCCTTCGATGCGGACCCATTTGCCATTCTGTCTACATCCATCAGGAAGCAATCAGATTTGCCTGCGGCATCTGGTGGCTTCAGCGATATCTGGAAGTGCACAATGACAATCGATCCAAAAACTCCGGCAACCCACAAATTAAATATAAAAAAGAACAAATAAAACAAAACTCCAGCAACCTCTACTGAGGTACATATGATGTTGCCCTGCGAATCTCGCCGACTAATATCCGTCGAATAGGTTGCTGTCAAAGCTTTCAGGGTTGCGGACATACTCAATAAAGAAGCCGTCCAAGAAGCGAAGAAGGTATGCTAACATTTATTCTGTGATGTGCAAGTACATTGAATGCCCCTGGCAGAGACTTTACCGCGAAGTAGCCGTGTGGATCAGACTGAGGCATGCACATGTTCTCACTCTTCACGGTATGGTCTCAGGTTTTGGACCATTGCCTGCCCTTGTTTCTACATGGATGGATAATGGGGCACTTGATGGTTACCTGGGGCGCATGAGCCTCACCATGGAACAGAAACTAAAGCTTGTGAGATTTATCATGCCAAGTACGAGTCCTTACTCAATAGATGTCCTTATTTAGTTGAAACAGGTGGTGGATGGCTTGAGATATCGTATGGGATCAATGTTCTGAATACACATTTCTTTCTGACGGCTTCTGTAGTTCATGAACAGGAAATAATTCACGGGGACCTGACCAGCGTATGTACTGTTCGATGCTTTGGAGTCCTTACTAACTCTCTAATTAGGCAAATATTGTAATCGACCGCGATGGCAATGCATTTTTGGCAGATTTCGGTTTCTTGACAGTTGTCGCAGAGAGTAACAGATCGTACTACAACTCGTTTGCGAGTGGTGCTGTCCGGTGGTTAGCGCCCAAATTGATTGGCTCACCGGAACCAGACAACAATCCGGATAACAGTGACAGCGATGTCAACCTGCAAAAACCGAGCAGTCAGAGCGATATATTTTCGCTCGGTTGCATCATGCTACATGTGAGTCGCATATACTGGACCCTATTCGAGCTTCACCTGAATCTTGCATCGTACAGGTCTTCTCGGGTAAACTTCCCTTCTGGTGGCTTAAAAGTGCTCGACAGCTGCTCAACGCTCGATTCAACCGCGTAGAGCCATATCGGGTCGAGCCCAGTGTAACCGTTAGCCACCAGCATTTGGATTTCATGCGGAAATGTTGGTCAGCCAAGCCTGAGGCTCATCCTTCCACTGGAGATGCTGCTTCCTTTGTGGAATACAAACTGGCCAGTTTATTTATTTACTTTATATCTCATCTAACTTTTTTACCAGGGACGTGCAAGTGGCGCCGTGACTATACTACAGCCGGTCAATTCTGTAGACACCACTGCCACCTCTGCAGATTCCGCAATGTGAGCTTTCAATCAAGGATCATGAAGCAATGGTCTCTCATGCTATCACAGCCGCCCGTTGATGATACCAGTCGTACCAGTGCCAGTATCCAGTATCACTATGCAGCTGTATGTCTGATCACTATATCATGACGGATAGCGCTGAACATACGGGCTACAGACATGCATCGCCTTAAAGATCACCACAAGTTCAGCCAGTCCCAGTATCCGATATCACTATTTTGCAGCCGTGTGTCTAATCACCATATCATGATGGATAGCACTGAACATGCAGGCTACAGAAATGCATCAATTCAAATATCTGCACTGCAAGTCCAGGTGCAGTTTGATCTTCCTACAGTTGCGGACAAGCAAACACCACCAATTGGTAGCCATCCAGCGTGAATTTTTGGTGCCAAACCAAGGCCAGATCTGAACTCAGGGAGTGAAAATACGTCTAAAAACAGTGGTCCAAAGTTTTTCCCACGAGGTTTTTGGCCCGCCAAATTTTTGGACAATTTGACAGATGTTGTGTACCTCTTCGGCACCATTTTGGGGGCCAATATTACCAAGATGACATGTCATTGACAAAAAAATCATTCCAATTTGGCTATGTAGACTTTATTGTGTATGATTTCAACCCATTTGCGGCTCAGCCGATAGAAGTTCAGGAGCATTTGAAGAACCTTCCAGGGGCAATTACCTCAACACTTACCATTTTTTAGCGCTAGAACGGCTTGTTATTTTTGTAATATTTCAATGGAATCATGCATGGGACATCAAAAGGAAGCGATTGCCATATTTTCGAGATTTTAGCGATTTATTTATGGTACCGCCAAAATTTTGGCCTAGAAAATCCTCAAATGAGAGTTTTTGGACAATCTGCTCGTGCAAATCCATTGCACTGGTCCTCAATAAACATATTCTGCACTAAAAATGGGTTGCCAGTCATTTGTGGCACCAGGAAAAATCAGTCTTTGGTGTCATTCAAATTTGCTGATTTTGCTTGTCCGCAACTGTATACCATCCAACTTCAAGACTGTGGATGGAAATCTTGCACCATAAATATTTCACGTGACTCTGGGTTATAAGTCGCTTGAATACTGTCTTGTTGTCAAACACGCCGGTCCGTTATAGATGAACTGCCAATTAGGGCGGCCAATAGTCCAAGTCAAGTTGCAGTGGATGCACATTAGTCCCAGATGCTAACGGTGTATGTCGTATGATGAGAGCTGACAGTGTGAGCGAGTTTGAAGTGCGTAACAGATATCACATGTACCATCTCGCGAAGTTGTGACTGTACAAAGTCTTTGGCTGTCGGACGAGAAAACAGGAGGTGAATGAAGGTGAAGAGGGCTTCAAACCGACCTGCTGTCCTCTACTCGGTGGTCTGCTGTGTGTGACTGAGGTTGGCGATAGTCATCACCAAAAGTCCTAAACTTAGGTAAGACATGCTCAGGTCTTACCACCCTGTATCAGCCTCACCTACAGTCGTCATGGCCAATCAGCCCAGACCAGCCCCAGGTTGTCCTAGCCGGTCAGATCATGGAACTGAATTTTGCCCATTTGACCATCAGCTGATGCATCATGCGTCATAACGGACATGTGAAAACTACTTAGCAGCCCTGAGCAATTTCTGGCACCTTATGATAGCTTATCGCTGTGGTATGGTATTATAAGCATGTATCATTCTTGTAGTACATGACATTGATTATATACACTGATCTATCGTAAATGCGAGAGTGAACTAAACGAGACAGCGATGAAGTGAATGCGTGAATTGTACAAGCGTGACAGAAACGAAGTGCAAATGAGGAGATCGCGACGAGAGGGAATATGCGAATGTCGATGTTAGAACTGCAGAAAATCGTACAAGAGCAACCGGTGAGCAGAATTAGTGAGGGGAGACGTGAGCAGGTGAATGATGCGTCGAACAAGTCGGACTGCTTCGCAATATCAGAAAAATATCCAGCAAAATAGAGAGTACGTACCTAGATTACTTTCTTCCTTTGCGTTTCTTACTAGTAGTAGCGGTGGTGGTCTTCTTTCAGGCCCTTCCTGCCATGCTTTGGAACAACTGGACTGTCAGTCACAGACTCGACTTCCACCTGTTCATGGCAGGGTGATACTTAACCGTGTCTAACTATACACAGTACATTTTGTAAGTTTGTTTCTGAGCTACCAACGTGAAGCTTCATGAAGCTTAATGTCCTCAACAGCACATCACCCATGTCACTCGAATGATACCAGGCACGATGCATCTCTCTTGTGATCTCAGCTTGTTCTCGATGCTACTGGAAATGTTAGTTTCAAAGATCGGGATCTCTCTTGTGATCTTGCTTGTTCTCGATGCTACTGGAGTGTGTCACCAATGAATTTGATTGCTTCGTCAGAACATTGTAAATAGATCACAGTTTAAATTAAAAAATGCCATTCACGGCACCCCACTTTGAAAGGAATGTATCATGGAGATCCCGCCGCATGGCTGCCTGACGCCATCAGGAAAATCACTGGTTGCATTTTTCCCACTTATGCCACTTAATGTTTAGTGAAGGTTATTAAAAATACAGCTTTTCCAACTTAATAGGCTTTTGCAAAAGTAAATTCAGGGTGTCCTTAAATTCACAAGTCCAGGTAACCAAAAAGCAGATTAAGCGCAATAAGTAATAAACAGTAGTACTACTAGCAAGAGTCGTATACTACTAGTATGTTGTTTAAGAGTCACGTACTATATTGTCCTAAAAAAGAAATTGTCAGTAGACGCCGATTATCGAGTATCTTGAACTTGAGACTGAAACACCATCGACTCACATAGTATAATCTCAACACCGCTAAAATTTTGAAGATGGGCCCTACCGATTCCATAAGTGACCTACTATGCGCTGTGTAGATCGCAGATCCGAGTTGCTGACACGATCAACAGCAATTAGTCCGCTACACATATTGGCCAACAATGGTACCACAAAGTACCTACCAGGGACAAGGGCAAAGGCAGCGGATCACGGCGGATCAGCCAGAAGTACCACTGGCAGTAGATGTGGATGTGGCGGTTGGGCAGGATGTAGCTGGAGGGGAGAGGGTGGGGTTCTGAAGGAGGTTGAGGTGCTTTTGAGTTGTTGGAACTGAGTGTCACTCGAGTGTATCCATGGCGCGGTGTAATCGTCGAGTTGCTGCAAAGTGTTGGAGGAGTCTCCCTGTTGTATCCTTGTCGTCTCCGTTTAGGTGCGCGTTGAATTGCAGATGCAGACACAGAAGTTTTGGCTGGACTAGGATTGACCGCTCTTTGTGCATGCCTTGTTGATCTTGCAGAACACCCATTGACCAGACCCACAAAGAGCGCATCTGCATCAGCCTTAAGATACCATAGTATGCCATCCATCTCCACATTAGCAATGGCGCTCTGCCTTCAACAGCAGAGCCTCTTGTTCCTCCTCCGTCTCAGCAAGACAGGGATGCACAACTCCCAAAACAAACCAAGTCCCATGGCAACAATATTGCTGCAAGTCTACCAAGATGGTGCTCTGCCTTCAACAGCAGAGCCTCTCGTTCCTCCTCCATCTTAGCAAGACAGGGATGCACAACTCCCAAAACAAACCGAGTCCCACAGCAACGACATTGCTGATGTAAAGGTTGAAGAAGATGAAGAGCAGGAGGAACACATCGAGTCGATGTCGGTGATGATGGATATTAGTGCTGAGCTTGCAACTCTTCGAGCTGCAGAGTGAGGGTGGTGAATTTTGAATGTTGTCAAAGTGGGCAGGGGAAAGAGGGTTTGAGGTTTGGGTCAGGGGCAGAAAATCGTTTGAGGGGCCCGGTTCTTGGACACAATTCCAAGAGTGCCTAGTTGATTTTTGAGTGAGTAGTATGACGTGAGTCCAAGTCAAATGGACCTACCTAAGATGCGATCTCAAAGGCATGATGATCTGCAAACTTGTTGACATAGAATGCTCGGAAAGCATCATATGAGTCATAGTACTTGAGGTCATATGGGATGGCATGTGTTCCGTAGATTGGGATGAGATGTGCAGCGCGGTATATAGAATCAACGTGAATTATTCCGATTGATGGTGAATGGGCAATGTCATATGAAGGTTGAACAATCCACATCCCAGTGTCCTCGTCAGGTCCATCATTGACATTGTTAAACCAATGCACCACAGCGCATGGGTACAAAACTGCCTCGAACGTGAAAGAGAAAAAACAAATGACATGGGCTATGTCCATGCCTCCCCATCCCTTCGACACCTGCATCTGTGTTCACAAATACACAATCATAGCATGGTGCCTCATTTCTCCAAAGAGGACAAGAACGAATGTGCTCCTGGCGCATGCCACCAATCCCACTGCGGTCACTGGGTGCATAGAATGTCGAAGATGCGGAGTTGAAGACTTGTATTTTACCATCGAATCGAGGACACCTTGCAAGTGGGACGTCAGAGGGAGAGCGTTCATCATCAGGGTTTACTTGTTCGAATAGGAATCGGCGGAGGAGGTCGTAAAGATGGGGGATAGCAAGTTCTGTACATAAGTCGGTATGGGTATCACAACCTAGCAGGCACATATAAGAAAAGTGCTCAGCCAGTATAAGTGAGTCTCAGCTCTGCCTAGCTGCTATACTCGCAGAATGCAAGAACATTCGACCCTAAAGGGGAAGCAAGGAAAGCAAGGATCCATGGAATGATGCTAAACAACCCTGGTGAATGGCGGTGAAAGCGCGAGAAAGTGTGCGCAGGAAAGCGAAGTGCGAAAGTGCATGAAGTGCGCGAAGCGCGGGAAGGTAGTGCAAGCAGTGCACAAGTGTAGAAGACGGATACTGAGACTAATAAGAGGAAAAGTGCGGATCTAGATGGATACTGATAGTGCCACTAGCTATAGACTGATGCTAGGGCCTCAAAATGATGATGGACACATGCATTGCATGGAACTAACTGCCAACTAACATGGTGGTGGAAAGATGGTGGTCAGAAGCTAAGGTTCAAAAGTGGGGTGTAAAATGAACATGAGAGTATGTAAGTTCTACCTAAGCGCTCTCCCAGGGCTCAGAGCCGAATAGGGAGCGCTCTAAGTATGTAAGTGAGGTAAAGTGATGTAAAGTAAGGGGTCCATGACGAAATAGGAAGTGTAATATGCCAAATATAGTCAGATAATGAAAAGGGACATACCAAGGGACTGGTTGGACGATGGATGGATGCTCCTGGATGATGCGCGACGCAGGGCGCTTAAGCGCGAGGAAGCGCACATGCGGGAATACTGCGCGTTGTGCGGGAAAGTGTCGTGCCTATGGCGCGTTCCACGGGAAGTGGTGCACTCCATGGTGGAAGTCATAGTGGATGATGGTGCGAGTTGTGCCATGAAGGCCAGTTGTCAGAATTCGTAAACTGAGCCCATATGAGCCCACAGAAATGCGAGTCTCTACATCTCCTGGGGACTTTGAATACTGAGTGTCCCCACTCAGAGCGCGTCTGGTGAGGATCTCGAGCGAAGTTGGTGATATGGGTACATGATGATTGTCGAGTATGATGGGTGTGGATGACAGTGCGACTAAGCGCGATGAGGCGCGGATAATGTGCGATGTGTGCGAGCGTGGGAACGTGTGACTGAAGCGCGAGAATGCGTCGCATATGGTGGGTTGTGCGAAATGACTCTGGTACAGGAATCGTGATATGAACTCGGAACTATGATGATGGCGGTCGTGCAAGGGGTGCTCGGCTATTGAGGCGACTGATAATGCGAGGATGGTGTGAATGCATCGCCTTAGGCGTGGGAATGCAGCGCGTGAAAATGCACGAAGTGCGAATGTGCGAGGAAACACGACAGAATGGTTGCACGATGTGCAAAACTGCAAGGAAGCATAAGGGGATGATAGCGCGATGATGTCCATGTCCGATGTGTCTGTGGGGGTATAAGGCAATGCTGGGTGGTCCGGAAGCGATTCAATCCATGTCCAAACCAAGTCCCACTAGGCGCCCTAAGTAATAGGTGCTATGGGATTGAATGGCGTGAGTAAAACTATATTCAAAAATGCAAAAGAGATGGCAAACGGTGCGGATGTCCAAGTCCGACTTGGCTTCTTTGTGCGGCTGTCAACTTCTATTCCTTCCCAAGGGTGCGAAGTGCAGGAAATCTGCGCGCATATGAGGCGTGTTCTAAGATAAAAAGGTGCATGGTGCCGCTTCATGCGTTTGAAGAGAAAATGATATCCTACTGGGTTAGGCGGGCACAATCTATGGTCTTTTTGTTGTTTTTGTTGTTTTCTTCTAGGCGGTTTTCTATAGGCATATATATCAGCGCATTATTAGTCCTTTGGACGACATTATAATGAGAGGAATGAAATGAAAAGCGGAGATCACTGGACAAAACCCAGGGTAAAATGAATTATATCCTATGAAAATGACTGTATATTTGGCGGTATATGGTATTTTGAATTGATGGAGTGGAGAAAGCAGGTGGCGCGGATGATGATGGCGAGGGTCGAATGATGGAGCGGATGGGTTGAGGGCTGGCGCGTTTGGATCTTCTTCGTCGAGCTCTTCTACTTCTTCTCCTCCCAGTGCATTCCTGGTCTTCTTCATCTATCTGAGGGTGCGCAATGCTGCGGGTCGAAAAGCGCGTGGGGAGATGGTGAAAGGCGACTAAGGCGACTGAGGGTGGTGGTATCTTCATCTTCTAACTCTTCAACATCTTCTCCTACCGGGTATAAACCGAATCTTCTTCAAACACGGCTTGATGGTGGACTAGTAACCAGCGGAATGAATTCTTGCACCTTGCGGTACAAGTTGAAGGCGCGCCCTAATGGGGCGATATAAGGCGCGTTTGGGTGCTCTATGGTTAGATACTGTGCGCGTGAGCTGCGCGCACAATCGCATTTGGGCGCGTTGGAATCTATATCCTCTAAATATGCGAGGAGCAGCTGATATACTGTAAAAATATTAACACAACGCGAATGATCATTGATAATAAGCGCAAATAATGCGCAACAGCGTTTGATAGACTCTAGGTCAAGGGCCAATTGGCACCAAGACATAAACGGATGGCCCTTGATAGGGCATGCAAGGATGATATCGACATAATAAGTGGAAGTGCGAAAAAATGCGAATAAAGGCAAAAGATGCGAAGTCAAGCACAATGATAAATGCTAAAGGCGCGTGACTATAAGCAAGATGAGTGCATAAGTTGCGCATGAACATCGAATTAAAACGAGACTGATTCTGGATGAGAGAAATGCGGCTTAAAACTGATGAAACTGTGAAAACGCGATAGCAGGAAAACTCTTCTGCAATGATAGGCACATATAGTGCGCGAATATAAGCGCGTGGCATGCGAGTGCGGCACGTGAATGACAAATTAACAATAAAATGGTGCGGAGATGAAGGCGAAATAATGGTGACTGGCATATGGCTCCTTGAGAGCTTTAAACAAGAAATGGACGAGAAATGCGACAATGAATGAGGATGAATATACAATGCCTCTATGTGTGTGACCTGTGCGACCTCAGGCGTATGGTGGCACGCTGGAGGCGCATCAGAGTCATCTGAGACATGATCTAGTTGGTGGATGGGTAATGCGATGCACGGATGTTTCACCGGCAAGCGATAGTCACTGTATGCGGAAAACGCGACAAGCACGGAGTCATCAGCGACAAGCAGGGTTACCAGAGACTGAACCTGGTCGAAAAGCGGTGTATAATGAGCCTCTGACACAGCAGAAGACTCCGAAATAGGCGCATTAATGTGCAATAGATTTTTAGAGTCATCCCTGACTATTGGCAATATGGTGCACGGATATTGCACCTGCAGATGGTCACTGTGTGCGGAAAGCGCAATGAGCGCGGATGTGTCAGTGACAAGCGGGGTTACCAGAGACTGAACCTGGTCAAAAAGCGGTGTATAATGAGCCTCTGACACGGCAGAAGACTCCAGAATGGGCGCGTCAATGTGCAATAGATGTTTAAAGTCATCCCTGACTAATGGCGATATAATCTCCTCCAGAGGCACTTCTGGAAGGATTGGGACGATGAGGGGCTCGCGGATTTCGAGCTGGGGCGGAATACTTTCAGCAACCTGATATTCTGGGTTGCACTCGGACTCTTGAGGTGCGCATACAATGGGCGCTTCGATTTCGACTGGTGGTGGGGAGATTTTGGTGAGAGGTACTTCTGCAACTACTGGGGCAGAGATGGTGTCGCATATCTCGCTTTCAGGCACTGTAGCTGCGCCTTCTGGTTGCTCTTGGGCGTGCTCTGGTTGTGGAGGTGCACTTGCGATGGGCGCTTCAGTGACTGGTGGCGCTTCGACAATAGGACGAGTATAGCGGCGACCAACACTGCATTCTGGGTACATCTTCAAGACGAAATTAGTGAACTCCTCGTAGTTGTTACCTTCATAATATCGAAAAAGCTGGTGTTGTTCCTGCGCCGTATATCACAGGGCATACTTGATGCAATCCTGCTCCAAAAGGCCATTGTGGTGCGTCAGTTGTTCTACTGACTGCAAGAAATCAATTAGCTGATTGTGTTTGCCCGCAAACTGAGGGGCTCCGTTAGTGTGAGGCAAAGGCATGCCAAACATATCTAGTGGGCCGCTCATGGCGCGAAAATGGTGAGCGTGAAATGGAGAAATGGTGTGAAAAGTGCAGAAAATGCGAAAGTGCACGGGAACGCGATGAGGGCGAGGAATGATAGCTGCGTGCTAGGGGGAAGAGTGGGAAGTGGGCTCTCAAGTGCTCCTCTGGATACGAGTGGAAAGTCGTCCCAAGGGGATTGCTACTGAGAAAGATTCCTCTAGTGAATGGTGAGGGGGATCTATAACCAGCGATTCGGTCTCGAAGTCTGAATGGGACACTGAGGCAAATAATGCACCCAAAAGCGAAGTGCGCTAGCTAAAGGTGCCTAAACGCGCTAACAAGGCGGAAAGTGCGGAAAAGCGCGCTTCAAATGTCAAAGTGCACTTCGTGCGATCACAATGGAGTGCTTCGAGTAGAGATGACAATCAAGATGGGGAATCAGGACTTTGATAGATGTAGAAATAGACACTTAAAGGTGTCAAAGCGCCAATAGGAAGGAAAACCGGTGTATTCAGATAGAAACTCGAGCTATATACTTCGATGGTAGTGGAGCGGAAGTAAGTGACCGGAAAACAAACATGGTGACGTGTAGGTATGCTAAGCGAGTTCCCACGGCTCGGAGCCGAATAGGAAGTACTAAGGTAAATGGTGAGGTAAGTCAGGGTCCATAACGAGATATGATGATAAGTACTAGTGCCTGCGTGACGGAGTATGAGTTCTGAAGAAGGGAAAATGCACCAATGGACCTTGGAGGACTGGGACGGGACATGCGGAGGACAGGCGACGGATCCTAGGGAAATGCGACGAAGTGCACCGTAACGCACTTGAACGCGCTGGTACGCGCTGAAGGATCTTCAACTCAGCTGAGGGTGCAGCTGATATAATTGTTGAAGGGAGGAAAATATGAGTGCGATATGTTCGTCCCTTAGGGGAAGCGGAGAAAGCAAATATCCACTGGTCAACTCTAGGGGGAATGCGCAAAGCGCGGGAACAAAGGCGCTATAGGCGCGCGAAGCGCGGGAAAGTCGCGCATCGAAAAGCGGAACTGGGTGAAAGCGGTATGCGAGCGATAGTGAGATGTTAAGACGTGTACTGAGATGCTGATAAGACAACTGATGCGGATATGGCCACTAGAGCTAACTGCTACTAGGGCTTGCGATGATTTATTCAAAACATAATAAAAACTCGGAGATGGTGACTGTCTATGATGATAGTGGTCCGTGGTAATGTGTGTTGTGTAAAGTAAAAAATGTGTCATGAAAAATGTGTACCAAGTGAAAATAAACATGGTACGATGTTGAAATAAATGATAAATGGAGAAATGCATACCTGGGAACTTGGTTGGACATGGGAAAACACAGTGGGAAGTCAGGCGCCCTATAGCGCTTAGGCGCGGGAAAATTCGCCTAAAGCGCACGCAAGTCGCGGAAGTGTCGCCTAAGTCGCGGAAGTGTCGCCTAAGTCGCGGAAGTGTCGCCTAAGTCGCGGAAGTGTCGCCTAAGTCGCGGAAGTGTTGCCTAAGTCGCGTGCATCGCGCGAACATCGCGTTTATCGCGCAAGTGTCGTGTTACATGCATGACACTGTAGACTCGACCTATGTTGCAATATGTGCCATTGTGAGGCTACCCAGGATCGAGTCTCTACAGCGCCAAAGTGCGCGTTGCGCGGAAGTCGTATTAGAAGCGCATTGTAAGGATATCAAGTGCGTTGTGAAAAGCCGTGAATTTGGCCCATATGAGCCTGGAGAAATGTGAATCTCTACAGCGAATAAAGCGGCTGATGTCGAAATTGCAGGTGCGCTAGAAGAGATTGAAAAGCGTGCGTGGATGTGCTGACTGTTCCCCTCGCGGTGGGCTCCAGTTGTGGGTATCACAACCTGGCAGGCACATATAAGAAAGGTGCTCAACCAGTATAAGTGAGTCTTGGCTCTGCCTAGCTGCTACACTTGCAGAATGCAAGAGCGTTCGACCCTAAAGGGGAAGCAAAGCAAGAATCCACAAATGATGCTGATCAACCCTGGTGAATGGCGATGGAAGTGCGAGAAATGCGCTGAAGGTGTGCGCGGGAAGCGAAGTGCGAAAGTGCGCGAAGCGCGGGAAGGTAGTGCAAGCAGTGCACAAGTGAAAAGATGTGAACTGAGACTGCTGAGAGACGAATGATGATGGTGATAGGACGAGAAAGGCGACTGAAGACTGATACTGATGTTGCCACTAGCTAGAGACTGCTGCTAGGGCCTATGACGACGAATACATGCATTGCATGGACTAAATACCAAGTAACGTGGTGGTCAGAGACTCAGGTGGTAAAGTTAAGGTGGTGTAAAACGAACATGAAAGTATGTAAGTTCTACCTAAGCGCTCTCCCAGGGCTCGGAGCTGAATAGGGAGTGCTCTAAGTATGTAAATGAGGTAAAGTGATGTAAAGTAAGGGTCCATGACGAAATAGGAAGTGTAATATGCCAAATATAGTCAGATAATGAAAGGGACATACCAAGGGACTGGTTGGACAATGGATGGATGCTCCTGGATGATGCGCGATGCAGTGCACTTACGTGCGAGAAAGTGCGCATGGCGCGCACGCGGGAATACTGCACATAGTGCAGGAAAGTAGTGCGCCTATGGCGCGTTTCGCGGGAAGTGGTACGCATGATGGTGGAGGTCATAGTGGATGATGGTGCGAGTTGTGCCATGAAGGCCAATTGTCAGAATTCGTAAAATGAGCCCATATGAGCCCACAGAAATGCAAGTCTCTACATTGGGTACAGTTTGTGCACGTTTGCATTCTGCACAATGTTGAAAGTTAAATAAAGTATTCATGGTCAAGTATGAGCTGGCTTACGGTGTGTCTTTGCCAACCGAACATGGACCTGCACTAGCGTTGGGCTGTCGATAACTTCGCCCTCTTCATTGTCACCCTGTATAGTGATGTCAAGGTTAGGGAGTAGCACAATGCTATTCTCGTTAGCTTGGCCGAGCTGGATGGCATCAGGCTCCCTATTTGACCATATACGTTCTAGTATAGATTTTGAGTAAACAATCAGCACGATAGCACTATCAACTCACTTAAGGCCCTAAGCGTTTCTGATAGACAAGTACCATTCAACCTCCCACGGCTCTTGAAATCATTGCGTGATGCTGCAAGTTTATCAAGGCGCTGGTTTGTCACCAGCATTTGGCCGAGGTGTCATATACCATATTCCCGGGTACAGATCCGATGGACATATCTGTCGTCCGGTCCACAGATCCGATCTAATCCTTATTTCATGTCCTGTTCATATAACTCTAACTATCATTCATCTCCTTTCGGCATTCCTGTACACCGGTATACCGGTTATCCTTTACTTCTGTTATGCTTACTGATCCGCTACACTTACTGATCCGCTTTAGCTTATACTTCATTCCCGGTTATGATTCGTTATCCATCCGACTTACCAATATGCTGTACACATACTTTGCTTATACTTCGTACATAGCCTCACGCCTTTGCTTATTGATCATTCCGTTAGTTATCCGTAGTATATAAACCCTTGTACATGCGTTGTAGTAGATCAGTTCGAATATCATCTTAGATTGCACTCATTCTGCCTGGACTCTAAGTCCCTCCATTATCTGTCCGGACTTGAGTATGATACTCTTGTCTACTCCGAGACTTAGGATTGAGTCCTATAGTCTATACATCCGTCTCTGTCTTCGGACAGTCTTCACCCGTTAGTTTCTAGTTTGGATCCGATCCGGATTAGCCGTTGCTCTATATGTTCGATATCCGGAAGCCTTAACGGATCCGTTACAATACTTATCCGTCTCACTAGACGCAATACTCTAGCACTCTGAAATAAGGGGCAAGACTCAGGAAAGGGGCACAGCGCACGAGCTGAGGCCAAAGCCCTTCGGATCCAATACTACTTGAGTATGGTCTTAACACAAGGGCTTTGTAATGACTCGAACGCCTCCATGGTTCCTTGACGGCTTTGATGTGCTTTGTCTCTGTGATTGAGGAACAAAGGCCGTTTGGTGCGCCAAACAGTCGGATAAGGAGGGTGTAGTGTGAGCAAGAGTGTTGTCGAGGGAGGGAGAATGTGAGTACGACACCCATGGACTCAAAGATCTTCCTGTAATGATGCAATCGATTGAGAGCGTTGAGGCGATCTCAACCTGGCTGGGCTGATATGAAATATCTAAAAATGCTCAACCAGTATAAGTGAGTCTTGGCTCTGCCTAGCTGCTATACTCGCAGAATGCAAGAACGTTCGACCCTAAAGGGGACTGCTACTGAACACAGAACCAGATGAAAGAAAGACCCTTGAAGTGCGATGGATGCGCGAAAGCACAAGAAGAAAAGCGAAGTGAGCGCGAAGCGTGAGAGAGCGCACTAAGGTAAGCGCGAGCGTGGGAACTTGAGCGCTAAGGCGCCCGTTGTGTGGAGAATACCGGATAAGGAAACAGATAAAGAAGCGGATGTGCAAAGCGAGTGCAAATGCAGAGCGAGTGTTATAACGAGCGCAGATAAAGGTCTAGTATAGGCGGATAACGATAACCATTGGAAACACAAAGTGAGCCCAAGTGGTGACTACTACTTTAAAGTAAAACCCAATAGCGAGGGAAGTACAGCAAAGGGGAGTAATAATGATGGAGTAGTAAGTCAGCAAACTTTATACTATGGAAATTGCATTGGAAGCGGAAGGGATAGGAGCAATAAGCGCTATGAATACGTAATGACATGTAATAGTGCTGCAATGCTTGTTACAAACCACGAGGCAAGCGATATGACGTACCAATGAGGTGGATGGACATAGACGGACTTTCCTGGATGATAGGCGATGCAGGGCGCTTAAGCGCGAGAAAGCGCGCAAGGTGCGCGTGTGGGAATGCTGCGCGTTGTGCGGGAAAGTACCGCGCCTATGGCGCATTTCGCGGGAAAGCTGCACGTTATGTGTAAAACGACTAGAGACATGATAGAAGTCGAATATAGCTGATGGTGCAAGTCGTGCATTGAAGGCCAATTGTCATGAGTTGTGAAAAGGTGCGAAATGTGCCCATATGTGCCTGCAGAAACGCGAGTCTCTACAGCGTCCTGGATTTGAACCAGCGTAGATTCCGTGATTATATTACGCCGTACGAGATAGCAGAATTCAAAGGAATGCGCGAAATGTGCATACCACGTCTGTTGGTACGTAGCCTTCAATGGCGGGTAGTCTGCCAGTTGCAATGTCCTAGAAATAATATTGAACTGACCTTCATCAGGGCTTTAGAATCATCGCTGGTCCATTGTTTGAATCCTCAACCTTGCGGAAAATGTCGAAGACCTGAGAATGAGGCCACCAAGGCAATTCTTAATTTACCTGAGCTTTGCAACATTGAATCCAGAGAAAGGATGTACCTTCGATCTATATTGTCTTGGATTTTCTCTGCTCCTTTCTTTCCATGCACAAGGTGCAGATACTTTTCAACCCACTCAACGAAATGATCCTTGAAGGTTCCTTTAATTAATTGATGTAGGAGGTCCAGCGCAATAAGTTCGTGGATATCAGCTCAAGCGAAATCATTTGTAAATGGCTAGGAAGAATTCAATCTCAACTACAGTTCTACAAGAAGATGTACAACTTACGACAAGGTCACTGATGATCCCGTTGTGGATATCACAACCTGGCAGGCACATAAGAAAAGTGCTCAGCCAGTATAAGTGAGTCTCAGCTCTGCCTAGCTGCTATACTCGCAGAATGCAAGAACGTTCGACCCTAAAGGGGAAGCAAGGAAAGCAAGGATCCATGGAATGATGCTGAACAACCCTGGTGAATGGCAGTGAAAGCGCACGCGGTGTAGAGACTCGCATTTCTGCAGGCACATATGGGCACATTTCGCACCTTTTCACAACTCATGACAATTGGCCTTCAATGCACGACTTGCACCATCAGCTATATTCGACTTCTATCATGTCTCTAGTCGTTTTACACATAACGTGCAGCTTTCCCGCGAAATGCGCCATAGGCGCGGTACTTTCCCGCACAACGCGCAGCATTCCCACACGCGCACCTTGCGCGCTTTCTCGCGCTTAAGCGCCCTGCATCGCCTATCATCCAGGAAAGTCCGTCTATGTCCATCCACCTCATTGGTACGTCATATCGCTTGCCTCGTGGTTTGTAACAAGCATTGCAGCACTATTACATGTCATTACGTATTCATAGCGCTTATTGCTCCTATCCCTTCCGCTTCCAATGCAATTTCCATAGTATAAAGTTTGCTGACTTACTACTCCATCATTATTACTCCCCTTTGCTGTACTTCCCTCGCTATTGGGTTTTACTTTAAAGTAGTAGTCACCACTTGGGCTCACTTTGTGTTTCCAATGGTTATCGTTATCCGCCTATACTAGACCTTTATCCGCGCTCGTTATAACACTCGCTCTGCATTTGCACTCGCTTTGCACATCCGCTTCCTTATCCGTTTCCTTATCCGGTATTCTCCGCACAATGCGCACCTTAGCGCTCACGTTCCCACGCTCGCGCTTACCTTAGTGCGCTCTCTCACGCTTCGCGCTCACTTCGCTTTTCTTCTTGTGCTTTCGCGCATCCATCGCACTTCAAGGGTCTTTCTTTCATCTGGTTCTGTGTTCAGTAGCAGTCCCCTTTAGGGTCGAACGTTCTTGCATTCTGCGAGTATAGCAGCTAGGCAGAGCCAAGACTCACTTATACTGGTTGAGCATTTTTAGATATTTCATATCAGCCCAGCCAGGTTGAGATCGCCTCAGCGGGAAAGCAAAGTGCGGGAAGGTAGTGCAAACAGTGCACAGGTGTAAAAGATATATACTGAGACTGATAAGAGGAAAAGCGCGGATCTAGACGGATACTGATAGTGCCACTATCTATAGACTGATGCTAGGGCCTCAAGACGATGATGGACACATGCATTGCATGGAACTAACTGGTGATAGATACTGAGTGGTAGGAAGCTAAGGTGGAAAGTGGGGTGTAAAACGAACATGAGAGTATGTAAGTTCTACCTAAGCGCTCTCCCAGGGCTCAGAGCCGAATAGGGAGCGCTCTAAGTATGTAAGTGAGGTAAAGTGATGTAAAGTAAGGGTCCATGACGAAATAGGAAGTGTAATATGCCAAATATAGTCAGATAATGAAAAGGGACATACCAAGGGACTGGTTGGACGATGGATGGATGCTCCTGGATGATGCGTGACACAGGGCGCTTAAGCGCGAGAAAGCGCGCAAGGCGCGCATGCAGGAATACTGCACATTGTGCAGGAAAGTGTCGCGCCTATGGCGCGTTTCGCGGGAAGTGGTGCACTCCATGGTGGAAGTCATAGTGGATGATGGTGCAAGTTGTGCCATGAAGGCCAGTTGTCAGAATTCGTAAAATGAGCCCATATGAGCCCACAGAAACGCGAGTCTCTACATCTCCCAGGGACTTTGAATACTGAGTGTCCCCACTCAGAGCGCATCTGGTGAGGATCTCGAGCGAAGTTGGTGATATGGGTACGTGATGATCATCGGGTATGATGCGCGCATGCTCAGATGATAGTGCGACTAAGTGCGATGAGGCGCGGATAATGTGCGATGTGCGCAAGCATGGGAATGTGTTACTGAAGTGCGAGAATGCGTCGCATATGGCAGTTTGCACGAAATGACTCTGGTATGGGAATCACGATATGAGCTCGGGACTACAATGATGGCAGTCATGCAAGGGGTGCTCGGCTATTGAGGCGACTGATGATGCGAGGATGGTGTAGATGCATCGCCTTAGGCGTGGGAATGCAGCACGTGAAAATGCGCGAAGTGCGAAACTGCGAGGAACATGATGGAATGGTTGCGCGATGTGCAAAACTGCAAGGAAGCATAAGGCGATGATAGTGCAATGATGTCCATGTCCAATATGTCTGTGGGGGTATAAGGCGATGCTGGGCAGTCTGAAAGCGATACAATCCATGTCCAAACCAAGTCCCACTAGGCGCTCTAAGTATTAGGTGCTATGGGATTGAATGGCATGAGTAAAACTATATTCAAAACATGAAAAAGAGATGGCAAACGGTGCGGATGTCCAAGTCCGACTTGGCTTCTTTGTGCGGCTGCCAACTTCTATTCCTTCCCAAGGGTGCGAAGTGCAGGAAATCTGCGCGCATATGAGGCACGTTCTAAGATAAAAAGGTGGCATGGTGCCGCTTCATGCGTTTGAAGAGAAAATGATATCCTACTGGGTTAGGTGGGCACAATCTACAGTCTTTTGTTTTTCTTCTTTTCTTCTAGGCAGTTTTCTATAGGCGTATATATCAGTGCATTATTAGTCCTTTGGACGACATTATAATGAGAGGAATGAAATGAAAAGCGGAGATCACTGGACAAAACCCAGGGTAAAACGAACAATATCCTATGAAAATGACTGTATATTTGGCGGTATATGGTATTTTGAATTGACGGAGTGGAGAAAGCGGATGGTGCAGATGATGATGGCGAGGGTCAAATGATGGAGTGGATGGGTCGAGGGCTGGCGCATTTGGATCTTCTTCGTCAAGCTCTTCTGCTTCTTCTCCTACCGTGTATAAACTGAATCTTCTTCAAACACGGCTTGACGGCGGACTAGTAACTGGCGGAATGAATTCTTGCACCTTGCGGTACATGTTGAATGCGCGCCCTAATGGGGCGATATAAGGCGCATGGGAGTGCTCTATTGTTAGATAATGTACACTTGAGCTGCGCACACAATCGCGTTTGGGTGCGTTGGAATCTATATCCTCTGAATATGAGAGGAGCGGCTGATACACGGTGAAAATATTAACACGAGATGAATGATAAGAGATATTAGGCGCAATGTCTTAATAACCGAGGGTCTTATATGAAAACGTGTAAGAATGTAATGACACCACAATTACACTGGATAAGACTTCTTGCCAGTCCTCGATTAACACGGTCTACAACTTTTCTTCTTTCATGGTAGATAACGTGTGAGTTCTTGGGAGGCTCGCTAAACCAATCAGTTAGATTAACTTAGCCGGAGCTTTATTATCTCTGATTGAAACTATGGGATTGTCTAGGATATACCGTCTAGACACTTGAACTGGTTTCCTGAATATACGGTTAACTGTTGAGAAGCTGGTCTCAAATGTGACTACGTGGACCAAAGCTTGTGTTGGTCAATATACAAATACCTGGTGAGAACGCTGGTCTCACAGATAACAACAAATGACAAATAGAAAACAATGACAAATAACAACAATGACCAAAGCTCGTGTTGGTCAGTATACAAATACCTGGTGAGAACCACTGGTCTCACAAATAACAACGGTGACCAAAGCTCGTGTTGGTCAGTAAACACTACGTGGTGAGAACACTGGTCTCACAAAACTGGGTTTCTATCGCGAGAAACTTACGTAATCTCAAGGGAAACACTTTCCCTGCACTTGTCTGGACAGTTCTTACAAAGGAAATGGGCTTTGTAAGCAGCAATTTGTTCAGACTGAAGCTTCTTAGGTGAGAGTTCAATTTGCTCAAGTGGGAGTTCTTGAATGCAACAAGTGGGAGATCTATTTTTTGGGGGAGAATGGGCTCTCTTATATACATTTTGTGTGGGAATATTATGTAAGTAAAAAGGTGATGTAATGACTTCAGAATGTGAGAAGAATATTCCAAAAACTGGAGGAGAATGTTCTAGCAGGTGCAAAAGAACATTCCAGAATATTCATGGTGGGATAATGTATCAACTAGGTCATTATGTGATTCCCATCTCACATATGACTTTTCTTCAAAACATGGTGGATTCATGAATCACTGAGGGGAAAACTGAAACTATTGGACCAAGGTTTGATACCAAGGTATGGGTTGACTAGTCTGAGGACTAAGCTAACAGACTTTGTCTTTTAGGGGCATACCTAGTAGTCATGTCCATGCATGATTCCCAAATCATGCAGGACAGCGGGCGCAAACTCTGTGTGCATTGGAACTTTAATTTTGGGTTGGCAGGCACAAACTCTCCAACTTGGGACAAGACTGGCAAAAGACTGAGGTAAGCCATGACATACATTTCATAAATTAAATTAAAATGACACTGGTGCGGTGGGGCAGATGCTGCCTGCAGAATGGACAACACTGGACCAGAAAGCTTTTCTTGAGTCGAAGTACAACAATTTTTTGAAGGCACAAGTCAGGGCATCTGTAATGCAATTCTGGGGCCCTGTGTTCTCAGAGTGGTTCAGAAGGTTTTCTGAGGAACTTGCAATTTTTGGTGAAGCGCCGGAAGTCATGTCAGAAGAGCAAAAAGAGGCGAAAGGCACAGCTGTTGATCTCAGGCAAAAGGTGAGTTTATCATTTCATGAGTTCCAATTAGACCCGCTTACCGTTTCATAAGAAAATCAAGAATTGGTTTAACTACCATTCTCAGAAAAGCGGCCGCTCTGCTGTAAATGCAATGGGCAAAACAATTCGGCAGATGCTCACCAACAAAGCCAAGGGCACACAAATCCACACAGAGGCTGAAGTATTCTCAAAGATGAGGTATGCGGATGATGTTCAGGCACAAGTGAAGGAGAGCATCGCTTCAGGCAGCCTTACCAAGAGTGAAAAGTTGGGAGCTGTGAAATTGATGACACACACAGCTTATGAGGACGCGAGTGAGGATGTTAAGGCCTTGTGTAGGGCAAAGGTTCAGGCAGAATGGGATGCCAAGGCATCAGAAGTCCTCAAGAAGACAGATGGGGCCCCTACCAATGCGCAATATGCTAGGTATGAACCATTCTACAACACTCCCGCTTTAAGTTGCTCAATGGGTGATTTCACAGGGCACTCACCAAGTGTATGGGTACGATTTCACAATTCATGCAAGTCATCAAAGACATGACGGGTTGGGAATGGAGTCTGATCGGCGCTGGACCAGACCCACGTTTGGACGGAAATATAAATGCTATGAGGTAGATAAGTTGTTGTTGTTGATTTGAGAGCGCGGGAATCTCACAGGCACTGCAGCTACCATTCAGGTGTGAATGCAACTGGTCTCAATTGGAAACAAGCGACACCACACTTCAACGAGACACACTTGAAGGCGTATGTCGACTTCATTAGCACAGTTTTTCGTAAGTGCCTTCCTCATACTAGCAAAGACTCAATGTTCAATGTTTGCAACTTCAAATATAGCACCGCACATCAGGAAGACACGTGCACTCAACTATGATGCTTTAGGATCTAGTAGTACGCCATCTGCCCCATCCGCTTCCCAGTCACTTGATTCTGGTTGCTCTCAGCCAGATGCACTTACCACAACACCTCCGGCTACACAATCACCGCCTCTGGTTATATCTGCACCCCCTGCTTCCACTGAGCGCTACAACCTTCATGACCCATCTGTTTCTTTCTTCCCCAATGTCGGTCTGCAGTTGTCCAATGGATACAGCCTCCAAGATGTCTCATTCACAAAAGATCCCACAGAATCATCCAGTTCCTTCCTCAATGATATTCCAAAGGCCTCATTTGACGTGCCGTATTGGAAAAATCCACCGCCTCTTCTCGGCCCCTTACTCAACGGATCTCCAAGCATGCCCAATGGATCTACAGGCACTTCCACCTGCTGTTACAGTCTACGTATGCCCCTATTCATTTTCTCTTCTCTCATTGTATTACGTCACGATCACCATCAAGCTGTCGCTAGACTTATCTTTCATCATCATTGTATTACATCACGATCACATCATGCCGTCGCTAGGTGATCTATTCTTGTTATCTCTGACTCGTTCTTATCTCTGACTCATTCTGACTTCATTGTACCGGCCCTAAAGCAGTTATCATTCCTTATATAAACTCGCTTTGTACCATGTAGTTCTTTACTTTAATCTTACTAGGTTTTACCTGGAACTCTCTTCGCTTAAGACCTCCACTCTTAAGTCGTCTGAAACTGATTCAAGTCAAGGACACTCTCCTTGCCTTGTCTTACGAACTCTTGTATACGCAAGAGCCTTGACTCGACCTCAGCCAAATACTCTTACCGAGTAGCTATTGTCGGAACCATCCTAGTTCGTAACACCTGCAGGATGCCACCTGCACTGCGCTCATTCCTGTCTTCATCAAACTCTTTTCCCCCTGCACTACAGTTGTCCCCAATCACACCACATTCATTTACCCAATCGGCAGCATCACACTCGCTACCTTCTTTGCCACCTATAGCAACCCCGCAATTCATGTTCCTGTCACTCCCTTCCCCATCACTCCCTTCCCACTCCCTTCCACATCACTCCCTGGTTCTCCCTTCCCACTCCCTTCCACGTCACTCCCCGGTTCTGCCTTCCCCAGTTCTGCCTTCCCCGGTTATCCCTGCCCCAATTCTCCCTTCTTTGGTTATCCCTGCTCCGGTTATCCCCGCCCCAATTCTCCCTTCTTTGGTTCTCCCTTCTTCAGTTCTCCCTGCCCCAGTTCTCCCTTCCCCGTCACTCCCTGCCCCAGTTCTCCCATCTGTACCTCCTGCATCTCCTGCAGTGGAGACTCCACAAAACGGAGACATGCAGCATAGCACACCAGAGAAAACACTCAAGGTAAAACGAAAGCGCGCGACAAAGGCCGTCGACACGGTCATGGAGGTTATCGAGTCCACTGATCCAAATACACTGTGAAAGACTGGTCGTATTCGGCAGGAGTCCACCCGTATTGCGCAGGCGAACCAAATTGGCCAAATTAACAAGCGATTGAGAGCTCGAAGATAGGACTATTAAGTCCACGCTTGCTCAATGCATTGAATTGTCTACTGACACATCTCTCGCACCATTTTCAGTACCTTCTGTTTGATATCATAATGATATCATTTTTGTGACTTATTGTGTTCTGGTCCCTCGTTTTTTATATACATGTCGTCATATAATAGTGGTAGTACATATGTTAAATTTTTCTTGCCCTTGCTCATTAATGACATATGAAATTCAATGCCATACTTGCAAATTGCAAACTGACTTAAGAGATATCTTATTGAGGTTGAACATTGAACCAGACTTGAATCATGCAAGTGTACATTCCCTCTCACTACACAAATCAAAGGAAACAAGCTTCAATGGCTTACCTTTGCGACTCGAAAATGACTTAGTGAAATTTCGACCACAAGATCCTGACCCGATGTAGGAACCACCAGAACCACAATCTAGATGCATAGATCTGGTGGCTACAGGAACAAATCAAAGGAACCCAAAGAATTGGTATTTCGTCCTAGATTGGTCAAATATCGCCAAAAGGAGGTGTCTGAAGCATTAAGCATCACCATTGGCACTGAAGCCCTAAGAGACGAACTTACAAAACCTGACTGTTTCTCACAAGTGAGTATTATGCTTAATATTAACAGTATAGCCTGCGACTTCGCTCAACGAGCTGTCACCATCAGCCTCCAACTCCTCCGACTTTCGCTTCTTGACCTTGTTGGACACAGGAGCAACAGCATCAGCCTCCGGAGGGGGGACAGACGCCAAGGCAGGCATAGAAGACGAGGTCTTGCAGGCCACTTTCTCAGCTGGGTTGACGGGACGGGGTTTAGGGATGTATTTTTCCTGTGGGTTAGTGGATTTTTCTTGCGGGTCAGTGGTTTCTTCCTCAGGAGGCAGTGAAGTAGCAGGCGTGGAAGGCACTACTGTCGAAATGTCAGGATCGAAAGGAGGCTCGACTTCGACTGGGGTAGAGACAGAGGTGGCAGCCTGAAGATTAAGATTCATTAGTCGGAAATGTCGCAGGATAGACAATGAAAAAACCTTGAGTGCCGCTGCAGCACATTTTGCAGATTGCTTCCTCATTAGAACAAGGTCATCATCGTCCTCGTCCTCGTCACTGATATCGAACAGCGGGACACCCCGTTTATTGCCAAACATCGCCCTTGGTAGAATTAGTATCATAAACACACAAAAAAAACTGTACTGACTTGTTCCACCATTCCAGAAGTTCCTCGGCCCATGCTTCATCGAACAGCTCTTGGATTGCTTTGATGGTGCGGTAGTATGCATTGCGGTAGCTGTAGTTCCCATCTGTCTCTTGCCATTTGTCATGCGACGAGATGCCAAAGCGACTCTAGAATACAAATGAGACATTGATGCATTTGATACCAAAGTACGTACCTGAATAAGTGCATAGGCAATGTGTTTGGCCTCGACCTTATACATGCCATGCAATTTTGCATTGTCAGAGCGCGTGACAGACAGCTCTCCGTCATCAATGAGTGCGGACGACGGACTGGTATAGATGTGTTGAAGTACCTGCATATCATAGATCATCAAATAAAATAGTAAAGAGAAACAAATAAAAACATACGCAACATACCCACTAGCTGCGGGTGATTCACGCCCATCCTAGCACAGGACTTCTTGTTCTCCAAAAAAATCGGAGGTTCGAGGCCTTTTACCCCAGGTTGGGCAACCGTGTAGTTCCCTATGAAGGGTTTGAGGTGACTTGCGTCCTCAGAGCAAATTTGGACGATGATTTCCTGCATCTTCTCATAGGGTAAGTATTGTAAGATAGTTAGTATTCAATAGAAAACATACCTCAGATAAAATGCTATTTAACTCCGTTTCTAACTTGGTTCTGTTGTGGCGACCTCAAATAAGCCGGCGGAGGTAAGGGGCAGAGAAGAGGATCCTCTTGTAGGTCTTTAAGTGATGCTCTTGAGCGTCTTTAGTCCTGTACATATGTTACTGGTTAGTAGTCGGATAACAACAGCAATGCAAAATACTTACACAACACTGAGAGCTTATTTTTGCTCTCTCTTGATGTCTTCTTCCTCGGATTCGGTTGAGGTCTTGGCAGCCTCCTCTGCTTCCATGTACCTGGCAATACGAAAGGTGTCCTTCAGAATGACGAACATGTCGATACCAGCGAGGGATCCAGCATGTGACGTGCATGCACTCTTCCCTCCCACTCCGAATAGGCCCTTGTCCTTTCCTATGCGAGTCAGAAGTAGTTAGTGTTGTAATCATGCATAAAACACGTGTAGATCGCACGCCAACCTTGACTTACTTTTCAATGGTAGTCTTATTGGCTTTTCTAAGGATATATGTGCCATAAGTAGAAAATGCGGCCAGATATTGATGATGAACTTACTTCATAGACTGTTTGTCAACCTTTTTAGGCTTGGCTGACGCCTTACGAGACCCTGGGATATGTAAGACGTGTCACAATCAGCAATTATTTAGCAAAATACTGATTCTTACCCAAAGAAGACCGCTCATCTACAGATGAGGCGGATGAGTCCTCAGAGGACGACGATCCCATTCGTTGCTACTCTCTGACTCGGATTGCGAAGCTGAGACAAGACTGGAGGTTTTCTTGTGGTGTCGGGCCATGATAAAAAAAAGGGAGAAGATGAAAGGAGATAAGCAAGATGCGTTGCAATTACTACTAGCGTGTTGTTTGACATTGTTGATATCAGAGACTTATATAATACCGACTTAATTAAATCTGATATGATCGAAGTGCGCACACGGACGTGAAACACAGTACAATTGAGTAAGAACTAACACGACACGATGCGACCGAGCAAAAGTCCTAACAACAATACAGTAGTTCAATCCTCCAGCTTCTGGCACTTCTGACATATACCATATTCCCGGGTACAGATCCAAAGATCGAATCTCAGATCCAATCCAGATCCGATGGACATATCCGTCGTCCGATCCACAGATCCGATCTGATTCTTATTTCATGTCCTGTTCATATAACTCTAACTATTGTTCATCTCCTTTCAGCATTCCTGTACACCGGTATACTGGTTATCCTTTACTTCCATTATGCTTACTGATCCGCTACACTTACTGATCCGCTTTAACTTATACTTCATTCCCGGTTCATGATTCGTGATCCATCCATCTTACCAATATGCTGTGCACATACTTGCTTATACTTCGTACATAGCCTCGCGCCTTTGCTTATTGATCATTCCGTTAGTTATCCGTAGTATATAAACCCTTGTACATGCGCTGTAGTAGATCAGTTCAAATATCATCTTAGATTGCACTCATTCCATCTGGACTCTAAGTCCTTGTGTTATCCGTCCGGACTTGAGTACGATACTCTTGTCTACTCCGAGACTTAGGATTGATTCCTATAGTCTATACATCCGCCTCTGTCTTTGGACAGTCCTCACCCGTTAGTTTCTAGTTTGGATCTGATCCGGATTAGCCGTTACTCTACACGTTCGATATCCGGAAGCCTTAACAGATCCATTACGATACTTATCCGTCTCACTAGACACAATACTCTAGCACTCTGAAATAAGGGGCAAGACTCGGGAAAGGGGCACAGCAGCACGAGCTGAGGCCAAAGCCCTTCGGATCCGATACTACTTGAGTACAGTCTTAACAGCTTCTCAGCCACTCCCTCTGCATCTTCAACAGCTCTCTTAGTTACATAGTAACTCCAGGGTGCAGTAGGGTTTGCAGGATCCGGATTGGGGTTACCAACGCGCCTGGTGAGAAGTTTGCATGGGGATGCAATGATAGGCCTGTAAACATCAGTTGCAAGTCTTTTTAAAAAAGGTCAGCAACATACTCAGGCAGGTTCTGATCGCTCATGGACTCGTCAGACTGCACATTCTCCTCCATATCGACCCTGTTTGCATATATGAAAAACAATTCTCTGTTGAGGTTTAAATAAGCATCAAAAGGAACGTGATTTAAATATTACCTTGGTGCCGGGAGTGTCAATGTTCAAGTTGAAACAGTATGTACCATCCAAAGAAACGACATTCTGGATGTCTAAGAACACAACATCACCAAGGATATTTACAACAGAGTTCCACAGCAAAGTATCGACAGAAACGATGCTTTCGTTGTCCGAGCTGGTGTCAGATGTGTGAGACATATTTAGAATTTGCAATAGTTAATTTTATGATAGCTTCATGGGAATAGTCGAGGACATTATGTCCTCGACTCGGATATTATGTCTGGTTTGGGATGGAGTTTGAACAAGCGGCGGAGTTTCAAATCGACAACGCCACCTGCTACCTGCCGCTATTATTACATGCTGAGCACGGACCCTCAAATGTCTACTAATGCTGACTACCAGGTGAGTGCTGCTGTTATACGCTGAGCACGGACTATGATCGTGTATTTATGTAATCTATGTCCTCACATTGCAGCAGGACCTGCACCTCTCGCAGTTTTTCACATGGGCAGACCAGCCTTGAGCAGGTCAACTACGGCTTGGTGCTTGGCATGAGCACTCAGAAGGGAACTGCGGTCTTCTTGGATCAGATCACATGTTGTGAGTGTCACTCAGTTGTGATTTCTACTCTATTCTACTCAATGATCCCCAGATTTACACCTGAACATTCTGACATGACCACTCATTTGGTGAATCGGTCCAGTCATTGGAGTCCCTCATCTCGGTATGTTCTTTCTCTCACCTAAACTCCTGAACTGGCAACTCACCTCTCCAATCTGATAGCTTTGACCTCTGGCGTGACCCTAAACTTATCATCAGGTGAACCGGCTCTTTGCCCTGGTCCTGGTATGTTCTTTCTCTCGCCTAAACCTCTGAACAGCAACTCACTTTTGCAGATAGTCTTACTTATGGATTTTTATGTATTGTATTCAGCTTGCACAATCAGATCTAGTTTGCGGTCATGCACGTCTGATTGAACTAAGTGTTGTCTTATAAATGCAGCCCACCCCCTAAGCACCTTTGCTACCTGGCCCAATGGACCTGCCTGTTTGCATCGGGTGCGGTAAGACATTCCTAGCCCAAAAGTCACTATCTGCGCATGCTGCTTGCTGCACAAAAAACAAATCACTGAAACTAGCAGATTCAGTGCAGTGCGACAGCAAAAAGAGACGTGAGTTGGGAAAAACTCACGGCAAGAAGTCCAAGTGAGCACGCAGTGAGCGTGCAGAGGTAATTCAGGTAGAGATAGATGTCGAAGAACAATTGGACTACAGAGGAATGGATGTTGACCACGACATTGTCGAGCAGGTGAATTATGATAACAATTCTATTAAAATATCACTACTACGATAAATCTACTAAGGTCGATCGTGGGACCATCGAATATCCTGCGCTCACCCTCACCTCCTCCCCCAGTCACTTCGAAGTGCTCTGGATGCACAGTTTGCATGCCTCGATGCTTCATCGACTACCTTCCTGGATCAGCAACACACCTCACACATATGCCTCCCACTAACCGGCGGCAACGAGGGCATGTTCCACCTGAAGAACGTCAATGTGATAACATTCAAGCACCATCTCCGTCCCCAGCCCCTTCTTCTGAGCCAGAAGATGCTCGCCCTGTGCTCATCCCATACCAGACAGAACCCGACACAATGGGACTTTATCGCGTGTACCCAACGCGTCCCACTCTAGCCCCCGAAGCCAACTTGACCTTGGAGGGTGTTACCGATGCTCCCACATTAGATGGGGAGAGCGGTACCTTCGGGCATTCATCCAGGACTTCCTTCACCAGAAATTACCTCCAACCAGCTTTTTGAAGCATTTACGAACCCTTCGGCAGGGTATTTTGATGGCATGGCAGTATACTGGAATGAATGAGAAGTCCGGTGCTGAGTGGGATTGCCTTGTGCATTTCCTTAAGGACCCTCTTTTACGACTGGAAGACCTGGGCAGCTTGAATCACACCCGTGAACTCAAACGATTGGACGAATACCTCAAGAATAAAGCTAACCCTTTTCGAGAAGAGTATGGATGGCGCCAATCTACTGTCAAGATCCGCTTGCCAAAAGAAAAAGAGAAGTTCAAATCAGAAAACGACGTGCCAGAGCTCGAGATTCCGGGTGTTCATCACCGCTGCCTTACTGATCTCATCACGACGTGTGTTCAAAAACAAGGTCTCGAAGACCTTTAATATGACGCCATTCCAACAATACTGGAAAACCCCTGATAACCGTGATATTAAAGTTTTTTCTGAGTCTTATTCCTCCCCTGCCATGCTCGAAGCTTATGCAGAAATCAACGCCCTCCCGCATGAGCCTGGAGACAAGCTTGAGCATGTTGTTGCCTTGGTCATGGTTTGGTCGGATGCAACCCACCTGGCTAACTTTGGAGACGTGTCTCTCTGGCCATTTTACGTGTATTTTGGTAACCAGTCCAAGTACACACGAGGAAAGCCAACGGCTCGGGCGTGCCATCATTTGGCATACATCCCTACGGTATGTATATTTATATATTCTTAACATTTTGCTTACTAGCTCTCTCAGCTTCCTAAGAATATACAGGAGATCTATATGGATATATTTGACAAGCCAACAACAGCCAGCATGCATACTCACCTCAAATGAGAGTTGATGCATGCTATATGGAGTTTAATCTTGGATGGAAAATTCATGGAAGCATATGAGCATGGACTAGTGATCCAGTGCTCTGATGGGATCACGCGGCGAGTATTTCCGCGTTTTTTCTCTTATTCTGCTGATTATCCTGAAAAGTAAGTACTAACTAATGTTAAGTATGAATCACGAGGCATTGATATATTATCTAGGATTCTATTAGCAACTATCAAATTCCTAGGGCAGTGCCCATGCCCCTGCTGTCTTGTGAAAAAGAGAGATGTTTGCAAGCTGGGGAATGAAGCTCGATATGAGGCGGCGGGCCACACGCGAGCGCATCAACAATGCAACACGTCGACAACATGTTGAAGAAGCCCGGGCATTAATTTTCCAGCTCGGTGAGGCGATCTCAACCTGGCTGGGCTGATATGAAATATCTAAAAATGCTCAACCAGTATAAGTGAGTCTTGGCTCTGCCTAGCTGCTATACTCGCAGAATGCAAGAACATTCGACCCTAAAGGGGACTGCTACTGAACACAGAACCAGATGAAAGAAAGACCCTTGAAGTGCGATGGATGCGCGAAAGCGCAAGAAGAAAAGCGAAGTGAGCGCGAAGCGCGAGAGAGCGCACTAAGGTAAGCGCGAGCGTGGGAACGTGAGCGCTAAGGCGCGCGTTGTGCGGAGAATACCGGATAAGGAAATGGACAAGGAAGCGGATGTGCAAAGCAAGTGCAAACGCAGAGCGAGTGTTATAACGAGCGCAGATAAAGGTCTAGTATAGGCGGATAACGATAACCATTGGAAACACAAAGTGCGCCCAAGTGGTGACTACTACTCTAAGGTAAAACCCAATAGCAAGGGAAGTACAGCAAAGGGGAGTAATAATGATGGAGTAGTAAGTCAGCAAACTTTATACTATGGAAATCACATCGGAAGCGGAAGGGATAGGAGCAGTAAGCGCTATGAATACGTAATGACATGTAATAACGCTGCAATGCTTGTTACAAACCATGAGGCAAGGGATATGACGTACCAATGAGGTGGGTGGACATAGACGGACGTCCCTGGATGATAGGCGATGAAGGGCGATGCAGGGCGATACAGGGCGCTTAAGCGCGAGAAAGCGCGCAAGGTGCGCATGTGGGAATGCTGCGCGTTGTGTGGGAAAGTACCGCGCCTATGGCGCGTTTCGCGGGCGAGCTGCGCGTTATGTGTAAAACAACTAGGGACATGATAGAAGTCGAATATCGCTGATGGTGCGAGTTGTGCATTGAAGGCCAATTGTCATGAGTTGTGAAAAGGTGCGAAATGTGCCCATATGTGCCTGCAGAAACGCGAGTCTCTACATTGGAGTACCAGTAGACGGTGCTCGTGTCAAAGCAATCCTTGACGATGAATCATACGTTCCAATACAGGTAAGTAGTCCTATGTACTCATTGTGCAAATGACTGACAACTGGTTTTAGAACACTTTTTCAGAGTGATTCAAGAGGCATGGCTTCAATATGTTCAAGCTATGGGTGGTTGATCAGCTTCACGAATTCGAGATAGGATCTTGGAAGGCTTTATTCACCCATCTCATGTGAATCCTTCACGCTGTTGGGGGGACTGCGATTCAGAAACTCAATGAGCGGTAAGCTTTTTGATTTGGAGGTTTTATATTAGGCCTCAACTATTTTGTTTTAGGTACCGAGCAATGCCCACATTTGGGAGAGGAACGATCCACCGTTTTCACACCAACGCATCCACCATGAAGAAACTTGCTGCCTGTGACTTCGAGGATCTATTACAGGTAAGTAGTTCGTTCAGCCTTACAATTCGCCTCACAGTTTGACCCAATTTTTTTCTCTAGTGCGTGATACCTGTATTTGAGGGCCTGCTGCCAAATGAACACAATATCATTGTGCTCGACATGCTATTTGACCTGGCTGCGTGGCATGGGTATGCGAAACTACATATGCATATGGACGACACACTGGATTTTTTCGACACAGCTACCATTGTACTCGGTCAGTCAGTCCGAAAATTCACAAAGACCACATGCAATCACTACCATACCACTGAACTCCCTCACGAACACGCAGCACGAGGACGATGCGAGGCAGCACTGGCTGCTAAACAGCCACAGGTACCTACAAAGGGAAAGGAGAGGGCTGGTCCAAAATTCAAGTCTCTCAATCTTTCGACTTATAAGTTTCACGCACTCAGGGATTATGCAGATATGATCCGATGCACTGGTACCACAGACAACTATAGCACTCAGTCAGTAAGTATATCTCAAATTGAATGCTTTCAATATCAACTTCATTTTTCTCTTATTAGGGTGAACTGGAGCATAAATGAGCTAAGCGCTGGTATCCAAGAATGCCCAAAAACCAGACCATGATTGCTACTATGACTCGCCTTGAAGCTCGAGAGCACATTATTGCAAAGATCAACAAACAACAAGAGGAAATAGCACATCCTGCAATGCAGCAGGCACCATGCAAGTGCACATCTCCTGCCTTGCACTACCACATTTCAAAATATGCAAGAATCTCTTATGACATTACCGCATGGCTTAGCAAACTCACAGGAGATCCGGCACTGAAGGTAAGTCTAGATTATCATTGTCTGAATAATTCTATTAACCTGGTGCTCAGGACTTCATACCGCGCCTCAAAGACCATCTGTTGGGCCGAATTCATGGCATTGATTATGCAGGGGACGAGCAGGAATTCTCCGATGACGACAGGAGCCAGGTCGTTCTCGCTAATAACCAGCTTTGTGAACACAGCATCTTACGGATCAACTACACCACTTACGACCTTCGGAGAGAACAAGACTTGATTAATCCACACACTCATGCTGACATTATGGTATTGTCACACGAGAACGACGACGATCGACACCCATACTGGTATGCTTGGGTGGTCAAGATTTTCCATGTGAATGTGTGGTACTACGGTCCAGGAAGTACTAACACACAAAGACCAACACGCATGGACATAGTTTTCGTGCATTGGTTCGGTCGTGACACTTCATTCAAAGCTGGTTGGTCAGCAAAACGACTCCGTCGCATTGGTTTTTTTCATGCGTGACGACCCGGATAGCTTCAGCTTTGTGGATCCAGACCAAGTGATCCGTTGTAGAGACTCGCATTTCTGCAGGCACATATGGGCACATTTCACACCTTTTCACAACTCATGACAATTGGCCTTCATTGCACGATTCGCACCATCATCAATATACAACTTCTACTATGTCTCTAGCCATTCCGCACATAACGCGCAGCTTTCCCACGAAACACGCCATAGGCGCGATACATTCCTGCACAATGCACAGTATTCCCGCATGTGCACCTCGCGCACTTTCTCACGCTTAAGCGCCTTGCATCGCCCTGCATCGCCCTGCATCGCCCTGCATCACCTTGCATTGCCTATCATCCAGGAACGTCCGTCTATGTCCATCCACCTCATTGGTACGTCATATCGCTTGCCTCGTGGTTTGTAACAAGCATTGCAGCACTATTACATGTCATTACGTATTCATAGCGCTTATTGCTCCTATCCCTTCCGCTTCCAATGCAATTTCCATAGTATAAAGTTTGCTGACTTACTACTCCATCATTATTACTCCCCTTTGCTGTACTTCCCTCACTATTGGGTTTTACTTTGAAGTAGTAGTCACCACTTGGGCGCACTTTGTGTTTCCAATGGTTATCGTTATCCGCCTATACTAGACTATTATCCGCACTCATTATAACACTCGCTCTGCATTTGCACTCGCTTTGCACATCCGTTTCCTTATCCGGTGAGGGCGAGGAATGATAGCTGCGTGCTAGGGGGAAGAGTGGGAAGTGGGCTCTCAAGTGCTCCTCTGGATACGAGTGGAAAGTCGTCCCAAGGGGATTGCTACTGAGAAAGATTCCTCTAGTGAATGGTGAGGGGGATCTATAACCAGCGATTCGGTCTTGAAGTCTGAATGGGACACTGAGGCAAATAATGCACCCAAAAGTGAAGTGCGCTAGCTAAAGGCGCCTAAACGCGCTAATAAGGCGGAAAGTGCGGAAAAGCGCACTTCGTGCGATCACAATGGAGTGCTTCGAGTAGAGATGACAATCAAATGGGGAATCAGGACTTTGATAGATGTAGAAATAGACACTTAAAGGTGTCAAAGCACCAATAGGAAGGAAAACCGGTGTATTCAGATAGAAACTCGAGCTATACACTTCGATGGTAGTGGAGCGGAAGTAAGTGACCGGAAAACAAACATGGTGACGTGTAGGTATGCTAAGCGAGTTCCCACGGCTCGGAGCCGAATAGGAAGTACTAAGGTAAATGGTGAGGTAAGTCAGGGTCCATAATGAGATATGATGATAAGTACTAGTGCCTGCGTGACGGAGTATGAGTTCTGAAGAAGGGAAAAACGCACCAATGGACCTTGGAGGACTGGGACGGGACATGCGGAGGACAGGCGACGGATCCTAGGGAAATGCGACGAAGTGCACCGTAACGCGCTCGAACGCACTTGAACGCGCTGGTACGCGCCAAAGTGCGCGTTGCGCGGAAGTCGTATTAGAAGCGCATTGTAAGGATATCGAGTGCGTCGTGAAAAGCCGTGAATTTGGCCCATATGAGCCTGGAGAAATGTGAATCTCTACACCGGTATTCTCCCACACAACACGCACCTTAGCGCTCACCTTCTCATGCTCACGCTTACCTTAGTGCGCTCTCTCGCGCTTCGCGCCCACTTCGCTTTTCCTTCTCATGCTTTCGCACATCCATCACACTACAAGGGTATTTCATTCATCTGGTCCTGTGTTCAGTAGCAGTCCCCTTTGGGGTCGAACATTCTTGCATTCTGCGAGTATAGCAGCTAGGCAGAGCCAAGACTCACTTATACTGGTTGAGCATTTTTTTAGATATTTCATATCAGCCCAGCCAGGTTGAGATTGCCTCACCGTGCTGTTCATTTGATTCCGGGATTTGAACATGGCCGTACAGACACCAGACTCGCCCCCTCATTTGTATGTCCAGCTGAGGATCACGATAAAGATTTTATGTATTTCTATGTTAATCAGTACGTGTTTTATATTTAATTAATATTGCTATACACTGATATATCAAATAGTTTTGTCGATTGTGATATGTTTATGTGCTTCCGTGGAGGCGGTGTCGGTCACCAGGTCACATGAGAGTGGGATGAATTCCTGCGAAATGATGGTGCTGTGGTTTCTGGCGACGACGATGAAGACCTGGAGTTTGAGTTAGGAGAGGTGGGTGACAACGACAACGAAGATGACAGCAAGGATGATGACAAGGATGACGAGGATGACGAGGATGACGAGGATGACGGTGACAACAACAATGACGGTGAGGATGTTCAGGAAGACGGAATCGACAATGAAGACCACATGAGGGCTGATGAGGGAGAGGAACTTGATGATGATATTCTCGCACAGGAGGGATATGGTGCTTTGTAACATTACATTCAAAATTCACGCTTATCATATTTAATCAGACTTATGGCACATGCTAAGGGAATATCAGATACGAATCAGACTTGTAGTGGTATATCATTTGAACCCAAGTACAATGTATACATGAATCGACTATGGACTCAACGAGCTGCTTGTGTTAACCGGGCGTTCATAAGTGGGCTGTATGCATTGCGGCGAATATCAGGGAGGGATGCAGTATATAAGGATGCTATCATAATGACAGAAGCATCTCATTGGCATAGCACACACGGGAACAACGGTAAGCTTCGAACTACTTGACGTCATAATGATCGAGCGCTGGCGTCATCGTCTCAGAAGCCATAACCCTTGACCCAGAAAATCTCGTGACCGTCAGCCTAATAAGGTAATACCTGTTTTCTGGACTTTTGGTGATGGTATTCCATTCGCCGAGGAGTGTCGCTTAGAGGAACTATGACGTCCGTGCTACGTATTCAACCCGCTACCACTGAACGTCCTGACTCAGTTTATGTAATAGTCAGACTTGTATTTTCACTTCGTTCGTCACAATATTAGAAACGTTTTTGCCTCACTCTCAAGTAGTCTCGCTTGCGCCCAGAACGACATGCACACAAGCCATAAAGATAGAAGCTACGATTTCTCACAGCGCAACCTCGCTTGAACCTCAAGGCCTCACCGGCACCGGTCACCTGCAACTGCGGTCCAATTCAATTGTCGAAATCCAGCACAGGCCTCACAGAATCAACCGAAGATAAGTACTGCAGGACAGAACTAACCAAAAGTACTAGTGACTAGATCTAAGATCATGATGAAGTTTGGATTCGGACGCCATCCATGATTGCACCAACGTGGCAGCTGCAGGGCACTAGCATAGAGGCAATGCAGTTTAGGCATGCATTAATGCTTTCGGCCGTTCTTTGATCACTCAAGTACTCAGACGCTTTGTAAATTTAGTTGGTGGGTATGGGGGCTTCATAGTACTATTTAATAGACGCGGTCAGCTCTTCTTGAACCTGCTCACTCCTGTTGACCCTTCGATTCAGCGCAACGCCGTAGACCTCCGTTTGTACTAATAGTAGGTTTATTACCATGGGTGGCTGCGCGTCAGTATTTCGAAGGCCTAAGCAGCAGACTCAAATTGTGAGGCATTAATCTCAATCTTATATTGACCACTGACCTTGCCATCATATACAGATCGAAGACGACAATGGCAATTCTGTGGACAACACTACCGCCTCTGGAGATTCCTCAACGTGAGCTTTCAACCGGGAATCATGAAGAAATGGCCTCTCATGCTATGACAGCCGCCCGTTGACGATACCAGTCGAACCAGTGTCAGTATCGGACATCACTACTCTGCAGCTATGTGTCTAATCACCATATCATGATGGACAGCACTGAACACGCAAGCTATGGAGATGCACTGATTCAACCATCTGCACCACAAGCCCAGGTGCAGCTCGACCTTTCCATACCATCCAACATCGTAGACGATAATCTTGCACCGTAAGTATTTTGCGCAGCTCTGGGTTATAAGACATTTCCTCATGAGATAACAGCGGGGCCATGATTATACCACAGCCGGTTACTCCTGATACACATGAAACGCAGCCGTAAGAGCAAATTCCCTCATAAATTGCAGATGTAAAAACACGAGACACAGAGTGGCCTTCGATGTGGACCCATTTGCCATTCCGTCTACATCCATCGAGAGGCAAACAGAACATGCTACGTCATCTGGTGACTTGGGCGATATCTGGAAGTGCTCAATGATCATTGATCCAGCAACCTCTACTGAGGTACATATGATGTTACCCTGCAAATCTCGCCGACTAATAATTGTTGGACAGGTTGCCGTCAAATCTATCAGGATAACGGACATACGCAATGAAGAAGCTATCGAAAAAGCGAAGAAGGTATGCTAGCATTTACTCCGTAATGTGAAGAGCATTGAATGTGCGCTCGCAGAGACTTCGCCGCGAAGTAGCTGTGTGGATCAGATTGAGACATGCGCATGTTCTCACTCTTCACGGCACGGTCTCTGGTTTTGGACAACTGCCTGCTCTTGTTTCTAAATGGATGCATAACGGGGCACTTGATGGCTACCTGGAGCGCACGAGCCTCACTATGGAACAGAAACTAAAGCTGGTGAGATTTATAATGCCAAATACAAGTCCTCACTCAATGGATGCCTTTATCTAGTTGAAACAGGTGGTGGATGGCTTGAAATATCGTATGGAACCACCATTCCGAATACATTTTCTCTCTGACAACTTCTCTAGTTCACGAACAGGGAGTAATTCACGGGGACCTGACCAGTGTATGTACTCTTCGATGCTTTGGTGTCCTTCCTAACACTATAATTGAAGACAAATGTTCTGATCGATCGCGATGGCAATGCATTTTTGGCAGATTTCGGTCTCTCCGTGGCTCTCGCAGAAGGTGACAGATCGTACTACAACTCGTTCGCGAGTGGTGCTGTCCGGTGGTTAGCACCCGAATTGATCGGCTCACTGGAACCAGAAAGCAATCTGGATAACAGTCACAGCGATCTCGACTTCCAGAAACCGAACGGTCACAGCGATGTATTTTCGCTCGGTTGCATCATGCTACATGTGCGTCGCATATGCTACATCCTGTTCGAGTTTCACCTGAATCTTGCATCGTACAGGTCTTCTCGGGTAAACCTCCCTTCTGGTGGCTTAGAAATGTTCGACAGCTATTCAGTGCTCGGTTCAAGCGCGTAGAGCCATATCAGCTCGAACCAAGTGTGACCATTAGCCACCAGCATTTGGATTTCATGCGCAAATGTTGGTCAGCCAAGCCGGAGGTTCGTCCTTCCACTGGGGATGCTGCCTCTTTTGTGGAAGACGAATTGGCAAGAGTCCCCTCTCCCCAGTCCGACTAGCTCAACGATGTATGTCACGATACGCTTTGGACTTGGATTGTGGTTATGGCTCCTATATACAAATATATAACATACAAGAGAAGGTGTGGAGGGTCCAATAAGTGTATAGGACTCTCGAGAAATGCCCTCAGGTTTTTTTCGTAACTTGCCCTTGAGACTTTCGAGGAGCTGGTGTGGCGGGTTGAAGAGCTTGGTAAAGATAAGGCACTGCGTATGTCGGACGCTGAGACTGCCATAATTTCACAATGTACAATTTGAGCATTGAGGAAACCGAACGTCCTGAGATCCCTCCGAAAGGTTTCTGGCAACACGTTGCTGCGGTGCTTTTTTGACCGGCGTCAGTGTCTGTTGAACATGTACTACATGGACACTTGGGAAACATTTTGTAATCTAATGATTTGACCAGTACGATAAAACCATAACCCTTTTGTACTAACATGGTTCGAGTTGGGTGACACTGCTACGCCGACAGACAATAAACTTACAACGTAGATCGTGCTGCAAGAAACTGCTGCAATTTGATTTCCGACTTTATGAGTGTTTATAACCTCTTGGCTTGTAAATCATTGGTTCGTCTGATGATCAACGAAATCTTCATGGTTCTAAGTAGTAACTGTGAGGAGATTGAACATAGGGAGTCTCCGTAGGTTTGAGTATAGCGTTGGTCCGTACGCCCGGGCTGGTGGCTCTGACTCCATCGCCACGAAGTTATTGGACCCATCCACCGAGCTCAACAACGAACCCAACAGCAACCTTCGCGAATTCGAGAGCATGCTGTTTGTATTCCATGGTCAATAATTCACGACGTAGTGTATATCGGTGAAAAATAACTTACCTCAAATGAAAACTCTCCATCGGCAAGGTCAATCTTGTCTTCCGAAGTGTGGATCGTATGGGTTGAACGTCCTGAACGGATCGCCCTCTGCCGCAAATATGGCAGGGAATCCCGCTCGATGCCATGACATGTGGTCTGAGCCTGCACCAGCACTTACAACAGGCTCAGTCAAGAACACTGCGAGAACTGTGATACTGCACTTACAAGAGCTTCGCACCGCCCACAACAGACGTGCTGTACTCTTCTGCAAGCGCCGTCGCCCAGTTCGTCAGATTCGAATCAACGTCCGTCGTGATAAAGGTCACAATGGGAACTTCTCCCTTTGGTACGTATGCAGTCATGTCCTAGCACTCAGTTAATTCTCAATTCACAATGGATGAATGACTCTTATGCTCACAAACTGGATCATGGCGCCCACTTCCTTCTTCAGTTGCGTGTACTCAGACACGACCTCCTGACTTCCTAGCAAACCACCTTCTTCCCCAGCATACCAGTGGAACTCGACTGGGCGTTCTGGCGCTGAATCCAGATTGGACAAGAGCTCTGAACGCCTCGAGGATTGTGACCGTTCCTGAGCCGTCATCGTCTGCTCCAGGTGCAGGGAAGTAATGGGAAGCGGTAATTTGCGGAGTCTTGGTGAGCGCCAACGATGATGCGAGGAAGGGCTATCGTTGGATTGGGAGAAGAACGTCCAAAGAACGGCTCAAAGCGAGCAATGACGCTGGGCTGGGGGAACGTGTGAGTGAACGTCTCGACTGAGAGACGGACACCAGGAGGGGCAGTAGAGATAATCTGCACAACCGGATTGAATACATGAGTTCGAAAAGTTCAATGTGATCACACTAACGTCCAGAATCTGATTATACAACCAGCGCTGAACTCTGGACACCAAACTCCGAGCGATAATACCGGTTGTAGGAACGAAGTCAAGTTCCTCAAGTTGCTTCTTCATCTCGTCCTTGCTCAGAAGCTTGGTGACCGACGTCACCTTCTCTTGATATTGTAGTTTAGGCCATACTATCATTCGACTCTCAGTTAGGATAGAAAAGAGAAGTACGAGGAGCACAGACTTGATTCAGCAGACACGTGACATGCATACAAATCTTGATGATCGGTGAGGTCGATGAACCCGAGGCCCTGCTGTCGAAGGCGTAGCTTATCGCCTTCGGTCATCCATACTGCCTCGGCCCCAAAGACTTGCAACAACCGTGGCGCATCGAGTTCTGACGCGTTCTCGGGATCTAGAAGACGCATAACCTGTACAGGATCACCCGCGTGGGTAGCGAGCAGCGACTCTATGATAGCGTCACGGTCAGCTAGGGTATCGACGGTGGGCCTGCGGAGTACATCCTGAGGTGGCGGCTGATCGAAGACCGCAGCGGATGCAAAGAGAACAGGAAGGAACGCATACAGCGCGGTTAATGTCCTCATTGTCTACAGGTGGTAAAGAGGAGAGAACTAGAGATAAGGACCAATCCCGAGAATTTCAGTGATATTCACTCACACGTTTATTTGTCAACCCTTCAAGAAACAATTTGGGAAGTACCCGGTCCGTCACAGCCCGTACGCGTACGGTAGGTTCTTCGAATTCACACCTGCTACAGACCGCGCCAAGCACTCGTGATACACTTGAGTCGGCCCCTGCGGTGTGTCACTTGATGTCCCTGTTTTTGTCTAGAATCTGGATACCACGAATTCGTTGCAACTCCGCGGGCCATCGATCATCTTTGCTAGCTATATTGGATTATCAGAGCACAATGGACATGGCCA